TATTCATTTAATATTAGGTCTTTAAATATTAAATGTCTCCCACTAATTTAATTAAAACCCTATTTTAATTATGAAAATCTAATTTCCATAGTGGGCTTGAAGTCTGTTATCATCCGATTCGGTAAAACACCATTAAGAGATTCCAAACATCACATTAAGAGGAAGATGACCATTGAACCGACGTGATTTTGACACCACCCCGGTCCAGGCGATGAACCGGACCGAACTACCGAAGACCGAAGTGGCCAGCACCTACCAAGGTCTATTTAAACCGAAATCGCCACCTCCTTAAGCAGGTGACAAGGCACCTACGCGCAACCATCCCGCTCCACAAAATCTGTCATCATTTATGTGGGACCCACTGCTCCAAACCGCCCACAAAAAGTTACTTTATTCAAAAAGTAGTGCACAGATTCCAATGTATCTACCCAAAATTACTATAAATAGCGGACCCATGAAAATTGTAAGGGGATCTCTCTCCGAACTGAAAAAACTTTATTAAGCAACACGTAAAAGCCCATCACGGCTCTTCACCTCGGTTCACCTCGGACCGGGGCCATTGTTGAAGTTACTTTACATGCTTTACGTCCAAATTATTCATAACTCTCATCTTAATCACGTATTACGTCGTTGTTAGAAATCACATAACAACAGTTTGGCGCTAGAGGAAGGGCCTCATAAGTGATTTGAGGTTAATCTCCGCTTTTTCACGTGACGATTTACACCAGCCATATCCGCCATGTCTCACTCAGATCCTCGTGGTCACACGTCACGAGACGGCCACAGTCGTAGCGCCGCGCAATCCGCCAGGCGACAAGCCGTGGCCCCACCTGTGCCGGATTATGCTGTTCTGTTTCAAAATCTGGAGTTTGCGCGTGGTTTTTCCGCTCTAATGGCCCAAACGATGTCGGGAACATCGACAACTGCTCCGGGACATTCCATCATCCCCACGACCCCCGCGAACCGACAGAATCCACCGGCGCGACAAGACGGCGGAAGGACAACATCTCATGCTACATCTCAACCTCGTGATCGAATGTCGCAACTGTAATATCCCGAGATTTTATCAGTATAAATTACGTTTAATTCCGATATAGTAACGTAATTGTTTATTATTTTCGGAATTAATTAAGTTCAGTCGGAATTACCGAAATTGATTTTCGACGTACCGTTTACGTTCAGAATAAATTTTGGTAATTAAGTACTATGTTTAATTAATAATTAAACATCAAGGTTAGGGTTAATTAGTGATTAACCCTAAATGAGTCTCTTAAGCCGTACCTATCCGATCCATTTTCCCTAAGTGTTACTTAGCCGTGAGTTCCTTCCTCATAAGGAAAATAAATTTCCTCATCCTCTTAAGTATGCATGTGGCATGAGTTGAGAGATATTAGTCATCATTAAGTATCCTAAATAAGCACCACTTGGATGGTTAAGAGGAGACCACACCTCACATACATCATCTCCCCTCATTGCCGTGCACATATATAAGAATCACTTGTGCAAAAATTTTCGTCATTTCCCTAAAGAACCGATCAGCAAATATAACCCCTTTTCAGCAGCTATTGAGTCCATCAATTTCCATAAAAATTCCATCAATCTCTCTCGGCAAAGACAAGCTCAAGCACGATAAGGCGAGAGTTATCGCACGGCGCACAAGCAAAGGAAGCACGCCCGAGTTCCGTATTCCGCCGACTGATTGGAGAGGTAATCCCTCCTTCAGTTTAGGATCATATTGGTACGGTTATTCGGAGGTTAATTGTTCGAAAAAAATTTCAGAATTTCAAAGATAA